ACACGTGCTGGCACAAAGAGATGGCTCCGGACCCCTTGGTGCTAGAGGATCCTCGCTTTGCCCTTTGTGATGGAGACTGAAATGTCTTAACCCGTAAGCCGAAATGGCTCTCGATCTCGGAGGCGAATATCATTCTTTCCAAGAAAGCCAAAGCACTCTGTGCTCTAGCTGCATCCTCACCTGCATGCCCCTTCGGAATGAGATTTGATTCACTCTTTTAGTGTTGCATTTAGAAACAAAAAGAATTCGGTACCACAGACTCGGTGGTCACAGGGTGGGCCGCAGTTCCTGCCCAGGAAAGGCGAGTGGTTTAGACAGGTCTCTTCACCAGCACTTTGCAAGGTAGCTTTCTTGGGGACATTCACTTATAAGGCTTTGTGTTATGCTAAGGTTTGATTGCTTTGGAGTTGCCGGTAGAAACAGCACCTGGATGCTCTTACTCAAAGATGTGGGCAAAATTTGGGCCACCTCAACTTTCCCAATAAGAGTTGTCCTGGCTTCACGTCAAGATCTGTAATAGCCTCTAAGATACATGCTGCCAGGTTTTATATACACATTTATAGTACTGAGTGTACTTTCCCCCATGTCTAAAGCATTTACTTTCAGTGGAAAATCCAGCAATTGGTTCACTGTTCCAAAAAGTGAGAATATAATCCGAAGAGCCTCTGTGTCATCCATGTGAAACTGGAAGCAAGTACCCCAACTCAAATTGTACTTCATTTCTCTCTTAAAGCCACCAATACCACTCAGAACATTTCCAACAAAGGAGCAGCTATGAGGGGAACAAAGCATTATCTAAAAAAAATAAGTCTTAAAGAGAGAGTCCTCTAATCTCTCTCTGCCCTTCGCGCAGGACTGCAGTGCAGCAAGACGGCACGAACAGTCTGTGTCGACCTGTCTTTATCTTGACCTTTCTGTGCTGCAGGAAAGATATCGATGAAGAGGCCAGGCAGGAAACAGAATTGTCAGATGGTTTGTGACTAAAATTCTGGCTTGGACGGTTGGATCCAGTAGCCTGTTCGAACGGTCTCCTGACCTGGAATGAAAGGAAGCCATACTGGTCGATTTAGTGAGGGTGAAATTCTAAGGGTGCTTTCACAGCCAGCCGTTCTCACCAGTACTCCTTCTGATACCCTCTTGGGCCACTTGGATCTTCTCTCTAGCATCTCGGGGGCCCCGGCACTTCAGGCTCAGGCTCTGCCTCTGCCGTCATTATCTAGACATCTCAGTTTCCTTTTCCTTCCACCTCTTCATTTCAGAAATGGTAGCTGAGTTCCGATGACTCCTCACCAGTTTCATCTTCTTAGCTCCTGGCCTGGATTTCTGGCCTAAGTCTAGTTGACTTTGGATTCTTCTCATGGGTCACATGTAGTCTCCACTTATGGGAAGGAAAATGGGGGTGGTGTTTTCTGATACTGACCCTTAGCTGTCGGAAACTCTTGATGTAAGTACCTTTTCCAGGTAGGAGACTTTGCAGTGGGTGGTTGAAACGAATCCAGATACCAAACCTCTGACAACCATAAATACGGTCATTTCCTTTCAAATTCCAGTGTAGTATCTTGTGATCTCAAAGCTTTCTGCTTCCCCTTGTACAGGCTTTGTTTTCCTAACTTAGTTTTTGTTCTTGACTGCAAATGCTAAACGAGCGGATAAGTGGACTGAAGAAGCTTTTTTTTTCGGAATGTCCTCAGTGGAGCAGTCGCCGTGTCGCATGCAAAAAAAAAAACCCACGGAAAAGTTCTCTGTTTGATAAATGGAGAAACGGTCATATCTTTCTACCCAACGCTGGAAGCAAAATCGTGCTCTGTGCATTTTGATATTTGATCTTTTTTTCCGAGACAGTAACTATTTTTCCACAGTTGGGTTTATCATTATCATGGTTCATACTCGTCTGACTGCTAAACGATGCCGTGTTTCAGTTTGTGTGGCAAGAACGAATGGAATAAATTTGAACTGTGTTCTGAAGTGAAGCGTCTGTTGACTTCTCTGTCAATCCCCGCAAGTCTCAGCAACTCCCCCTTACAGCTTTGTATCTGCCCACTGTGCAATAACTCCGACCCGGTGAGCCAGCTGCTGTCTTAGCTGCCTTGGGATTGTGTTGTGATCATCAAAGAGAGGGGAAGTCCCCCTTTCCAGATGAAATTGTCTGTGAGCCACTGACCACTGAAACTCAGCTTCAGAACATCAGAAGAGCCCTGCTGGATCAGACCAGTGGTCCTGTCTCCCAATGGCCTTCTCCTGATGTTGTCTCCTGGCTCTGGGATTCAGAGATTTAGTGTCTCTGAACGTGGAGGTTTCATTCAGCCACCATGGATAGACCCAGGAGTCTTTTTGTAGAAAAAGAGCTGCAGGAGCTCATTAGCATATGCCATGCCCCCTGACATCACCGGAAATGATGTCAGAAGGGGAAGCAAAAGGGGGGGGAGGCATCTTCAAAAGCCTCCCCTTCCCCAGCCGACCTGCGGGGGGCGGGGATAGAGAGTTGGGCCGCAGAAGGCGGAAATAGGGAAGGAAAGAGAAGAAAAGAAGGAAGGAAAGGGGATAAAAAGAGAGAAGGGAAGAAGGGAAAGAAAGAGAAGGAAAGGAAGAAAAGAGGAAGGAAGGAAGAAAAGGAAAGAGAGAAAGGAAAGGAGAGAAGGAAAGGAGGGAAAGGGCAAAGAGATGGGGGAAGGAAGGCTCTCCCACCCCCATCAAGCCCCCGCCACCCCGGCAGATCCCTCACTTACCGCAACGCTCCAGGAAGCCGATGACTGGCCTCCCCAGGGCCACAGCGCTCCAGCGCAGGCCCCGAGAGGTCGGTGACGGGCCTCTTCGGGGCTCCCTGGGGCTGCAGTGCTCCAGCGTGGGCCCCGGGGGGCCGAAGACGGGCCTCCTCCGGCCTACCCGGGGCCGCAGCACTCCAACGCAAGCCCCGGGAGGCTGACGATGGGCCTCCTCGGGGCCACAGCACTCCAGTGCGGGCCCCGGGAGGCCGACGACAGGCCTTCTCGGGCCTCCCCGGGGCTGCAGCACTCCAGCACGGGCCCTGGGAAGCCGACGACGGGCTGCAGCATGGGGAGCTGGGGACGGGGCTTGCTGCCACCACCATTTGTGCCAGCTTTTGGGCTGCCGGAGCAGTGCTCCGGCCCCAAAAGACCCCTGGATAGACCTATCCTCCATGAATGTGTCTAATCCCCTTTGAAAGCTGTTTGTCCCTGTGGCCTTCACAACATCCTCTGGCAGCGAATTCCACATTTTAAACTGTCTAAAAAAGTGTTCCCTTGTTTTGTAAAGGGAACGGACACAGCCTTCGATTCAGATCCTGTCCTCGGTCCCTAGGATGTTCTGCTGTCCCTCAGTGCTTTCTGCTGACAGGTTCCATCAAGTTTCTTATCAGAACAAGCATTTCTAGGGCAAGAGCTAACGAGTCCTGTTTGCATCTGCTTGCGCAACAGGGAGGTCTTGCAGCATCCTGCGCTATGTCCTATGCTGCTCCGGAGGCTCCTGAGGAGCAACGTTTCAGGGGTAAAAAGATAAGACACTTGGGAGGAGGTCACAAACCCCCAGTGTGTGAGAACTCCCTCCGTGTTTTGGGTCACGCATGTACTAGTCCTTCCGAAGAACTAAAATTCTGGAGTGGGTATTCCTACAGTTTCTCTGAAGACTACACATCACGTCCAATGAGAGATCTTTCTGCGTAGTTCTCATTCCTTTATTTACTACATTTAACCCTGCCATCGTACGAGACTATAACATCAAAGAAGTAAAAGTCGTGACCAAATTACTAATGTTGTTTCTGTTACACTCGGTGAATTTCAAATCTGAATAATTCATGCACAGACTTGGCTTTTATAAAATCACAGAATCATATTCTTCTCCCAATCCAAAGGTATGCCCAATACATACTGGAAAAGTCCCAAAGGAAAATGACTTTTCACAATTTCAGTGAGCAATACTCTTCAGACAATTTGGGCATCGTTTTCAAACATTCATATTCCTTCAACCAGCCAGCAGAGAAATCAATGGTCCTGGCAATGTGGAGTCGGCTTGGAACATCCTAGTTTCCTCAAGGTCGGGACCAGTGTTCCCCTCTAAGCTGAGTTGCTGTGAGCTAGCTCATAGTTTTTTAGCCTCCGGCTCACACATTTTTACCTTCACTCAGGGAGGGTGGCTCCAGAGCCAACTGATTTATGCAGGAGCCAAATCGCTCGCTCCACAACTTTAATGCCAAATAGCTCACAAAGTAGAATTTTTGCTCACAGCTTAGAGGGAGCATCGGTCGGGACTCCAGTATACAACTGTTTAAATGCAAATAACAAAAATTCCAAGAAGTTCTCTCCTCAGTTGGCATTCACCTTCAAGTTTCATGGTTAACAGTGCAAACATCTAATCGAGTGCGTTACATTTTTATTTACTTACTAAATTCCTAGGCCGCCCTCCCCTGTGAGCAGGGCTCAGGGCAGCTTACAACAGAGATGTACAATAAAGATATGTTAAAAAAAATTAAAACCGACAAAGAAAGCAACAGTCCTTAATAAAATCGATCCGTCCCAAGATGGCTAGCAGTCAGAATTCCTGGTTTAACAGATCGCAAACCTCCCAATCTGGAAGAAACTTGTAAAAGATGGTGGGGGGGACACATGAAGAGTAAGAAGAGTATGAGGGTGCCAGGTCACATAATTGTGCCGTCGCTGTCCGCAACCGAAACCTGGCGAAACACCTCTGCCTTACAAGCCCTGCAGAAAGGCAACAAATCCCGCAGGGCTCGGATGTTCTCTGGCAGAGAGTTCCACCGGGCAGGGGCCAGGGCCGAAAATGCCCTTGCCCTGGTTGAAGACAGCCGGATCCCTCTCGGGCCGGGGACCACCAGGAGGTTCTTACATCATTTTTTAAATTTTATTTTATTTGTTAAATTTTGACCCCGCCTTCCCAGCTGAGGCTGGCTCAGGGGGAATCCAAACCTGGTTCTCCCAGATTAGAGTCTGCGCACTTAACCACTACACCAAACTGACAAAGAGCCAAATCCTGCAGGGCTTGGATGTTCTCCAGCAGAGAGTTCTGCCAGGCAGGGGCCAGGGCTGAAAAAGCCCTTTGCCCTGGTGGAAGACGGCCGGATCTCTTTCGGGCCAGGGACCCTCGGGAAGTTCTTACTTCCTGAGCGTAACGCTCTTCTTGGGGCATATTGAGAGACATGTCTGTGTGTTTAAGTGCCTTCAAGGTGCAGCCGACTTATGGCCACCCTGTTTGGTGAGAGAGCCAGTCTGGTGTCGTGGTTAAGTGCGCAGACTCTAATCTGGGAGAACCAGGTTTGATTCCCCCCTCCCCACTTGCACCTGCTGGATGACCTTGGGCAAGCCTTCTTTGTGACCCCATGGACCAGATCACGCCAGGCCTTCCTGTCTTCCGCCGTCCTCGGAAGCTGGCTCAATTTTATATTCGTTGCATCTATGACACTGTCTAACCATCTCATCCTTTGCCGTCCCCATCTTCTTTGACCTTCAGTCTTTCCCAGCATCAGGGTCTTCTCCAGTGAGTGCTCCCTTCTCATTTGGTGGCCAAAGTAGTTGAGCTTCAGTTTCACTCTCTGGCCTTCCAGGGAACAGTCAGGGTTGATTTCTTTTAGGATTGACTGATTTGAACTTCTTGCAGTCCAAGGGACTCTCAAGAGTCCCGCTAGTACTCAGGGCTAAAAGAGTGCCTACCGCGCATGCGCGCATCCTGCCACCGGGATGCCATGTCCCGTCGGCGTTGTTCCCGCAAACGGGATATTGGTGGGGGTGAGTCAGGGGGCGTGTTACTCCAGCGTGATTCTGCTTCAGCTGTGGCTTCAGTCTTATCAGGTGCGGGGTTTTCAGGAGCCGGGAGCTCATCCCCAGCAGTACTTAGGCCTTCTGCTGGCGCCAAATGCTTATCCCCAGCAGTACTTAGATCTTCTGCTGGGGCCAAGTGCTAAGGTGCAGCTGTGACACAGGCACATAAAACGGCACATATATTACAGTAAAAACACCTAAAACAGTACTACAACCAATTGGCGACATAAGTGCTAGTATTATTCTTGATTGTCGTTACTTCAACGATGACTGCCGTACTCCGTTCTCGTTAAGATGCTGAACTGCAGGCTGTGGAAGGTCAGTAGTTCAGCAGTTCGAGACCCAGGTGCCGCATGATGGAGTGAGCTCCCATCTCTAGTTCCAGCTCCTGCCAACCTAGCAGTTCGAAAGCAAGAAATTGCAAGTAGATAAATAGGTACCACTTCGGTGGGAAGCGTTCCGTGCGCCTTGGTGTTTAGTCATGCCGGCCACATGACCACGGAAACGTCTTCAGACAGCGCTGGCTCTTCGGCTTTGAAACGGAGATGAGCACCGCAACCCTAGAGTCGGATTCGACTGGCTTTCGAGCAAGGGAACCTTTACCTTTTTTACAGCACTTCTATATGATTCCAGTTAGAAGGCTGCTTCTCAGACTCTGTAGAGTGACCACAACTGATATTAGGATATCTGCTGACATAGCAACGTTTTTTGGAGGGGGGTGTAGCGTTAAGTGCCCTCCCCGCCTGCCAGGAGAGAATGAAGATGCCCAGTCACTTCCCACAATCAGAAAAGGCACCTTTAGACATTTCTCTGCTAGTCTGACATATTTATTGCTTTACAACTGTTGACCCGATCACCTTAACTTATCTAGTGTCACTTTGCATCCCTTGATCACCACCATGTTGCATGTTCATGTGCTGTTCATTCTCGCGCTATAGGTCTGAACCTTTTTTGCCATTCTAGGCATTTGACGAACACTCATACCTTGAATAAACCTTTGTTGGTCTTAAAGGTGCCGCTGGACTCTAAATTTGTTGTACTGCTTCAGAGCAACATGGCTGACCAACTGGATCCATTTAAAGGAACATACACACATAACTTGAAATCATTACAGGCAGGGGTCATTTCGTAGAAAAAGAGGTGGCGAAGCTCATTAGCATAATTTATTTGCATAGGCCACGCCCCCTTGACATCACCGGGAGTGTGTCAGAAGGCAACACCCACTGCTCAGGCTCCACTGGACTGTTTTGGATTGCTATTGGGGGGGGGGACATGCGGATCTGTCCTCGCAGGGGAGAGAGAGCTTGTGCCTGAATAAAACTTGGTCTTAAAGGTGCCACTGGACTGTTTTGGATTGCTAGCTATGGGGGGGGAGGGAAACGCGCAGATCTGCCCTCACAGAGGAGGGAGAGCTTGTACCTGAAGGCGGGCCGGGGGGGGGGGCTCTGCAACTTAACTGGCTGCTTCTTGCTCCTCATGGCCCGACTGAGGGCTGCTGGGAGCAGGGGGCGGGGCTTGTTGCATGTGCCCACCCCTTGGGCTCCTTACTGCCAGAGCTCCACTCCTGTGCACTCCCGCAGGAAATGACCTCTGATTACAGGGACGCTTAAGACAGAAGGGCCGATAACGGAAGCTTGGCTGTTGGGTGGAAAGAAGAGAGGGTTGCCAACTCGAGGTTAGAAAATTCCTAGAGATTTGCAGGTGGGGACGGGGGGGATGGGACTTCAGAAGGGTCTAATGCCCTAGACTCCACCCTCCAAAACAGTCTTTTCCTCCAAGGAATCTAGGGTTGCCAACCTCCAAGTGGGGGCTGGAGAACCCCCCCCCAAAATTACAACCACTCTCCTGATGACAGAGATCAGTTCCCTTGAAAAAAAAATGGCTGCTTTGGAGGGTGAAGTTGATGGCTTTATATTCTGCTGAGGTTGCTTCCCTCCCTGACCCTCACCCTCCCAAGGCTCCACCCCCAAACCTCCAGGAATTTCCTGACCTGGAGATGGCAACCATAAGGGGAATGAATCTGTAGTAGGGAAATCCATTGTGATTCCCGGAGAGCCGCTGCCTCCACTGGGGCTGTGTGGGGGGGAAGAAAGCATAAGGGAGGCCGGGAGGGTGATGGAGGCCAGAAAGTGAAAGAGAAAACAGGATGTGGTTGGGGGGAGAGAGGAAATGACAGGCATGGAAGAGAAAGTAGGAAAAGGTGAGGCGGGAGGGAGAAAGAGTGTGAGAGGAGGAGGAAGCAAAGTTTCTTGCCG